TAATCGGTCTAGTGGAGGTGATTGGCAGCAGGCGGTCTCTCAATTACCCAGGTCCAATACCATGAAGGTTTTTCTTTTTTGTGTCCTGTCTCACACACCCCCTCCTATGAAATGTAAGCCGCCCTGAGTCCCCTTAGGGAAAAGGGCGGCCTATAAATGTCAATAAAATGATAAAAAAAAAAATGAAGGAGGGCTCTTCATTTTTAATATAGATAGCCTCTGGCACCTCTTTCAAACCTCTCTGTCCAGATGATGGACTTTGCTATCTTCAAAAGCGTGGCCTTTGTCTTTGAAATGCAGGTGAACTGCTGCATTTTGTAAGGCAGATGGACTGCAAGATCAGTCAGAACTGAAGGAGCTTCTGGGATGACCAGCTCAAGGCCACCCAGCTGGTTTTTATGGCTAACCAGCTTTCCCGGTTTCTAGCCTGGTGCTTTAACCACTAGACCAAGCTGCCTTTCCCATCACCAATTCCCTTGCTTTTTGCCACAAGATGGTCCATCTGTTTGGAAAAATGGTAGCTTTAGGCTCATGGCAGATCATTTCAGAAGGACTGGTGGACAGCAGAACACAATCCCCACATTCTGGCCAATCAAGGAAGTGAGGGGGAGACTGGCCTAGCTGGGAACATTTCCCAAAGCAGACGGATAGGGGAGTTTATATAAAGTTATTGTAAGTTTGTATCACAATAGGGAAAAAAAACCACTAAAGCAATTTGGCAAACTTCAGATTGAGGAAGGAATTCCCTTTCAGTGATACAAAACCTGTATCTATGAGAACCAGAGATAACTAAGAATTTTATTATGTCTGGAATGAGAACTTCGGCGTTATTCACCTCTGGCAATTATACATTTGCTAGATTTATCCTTTAGAATGACAGATCCTTCTGAGTACAGGAATACACCCAAGGTACTTTATTTTATTTCTTTTTTTTTTAGAAAAAATATATTTATCTGTTTGATGTACGTAAAAGATTCCCATTTCCTCTTTACAATCACCCATAAGCCACCTAGCGCAGCTTCCCAAGTATAAAATACACAATTTCCTCCACAGTGTTTGGAGATGCCAAATTTAGGATGAAGAATAAAAACCTGAAGATATTCCCACAATTTCTCAGCTAGCTTTAATTCAACATCTGGACTTCAGATAAAAAGAGGTGGAATGACAAGCCTGTTGACCTACATGTCCATGTCAACAGAGGCTTCAACTGTGCATACAGGATTTAGAAAGTTCACCAACGCAGGGCAGATTGGTGAGCAGGTAATCTGCTCAACTTCAACCAAAATCTCCCACACAGGTAGAAGAGGAACAAGTGAAATCATAGCATCTTCATGCTGGAGTGACAGTGTTGAATCATGGTGAAAATCTGAGTATTTGGCACTGGTTTTTAAAAAAGCAAATGGCATCCCCATGATGGAATATCAAATTGATATCAAATTAGGCAAACCACCAGATCAAGAGAGGGTGATTTGGTGTGCTGAACACATTATGTTAGGGCCAAACTAATCACAATATGGGTGAGTGCAATGTGTAAACCCAGCTCCTGCATAGAGATCTGTCTTCATTCACACATGGATAGAAAAAACTCCTTGAATTACCCCTATAAAAACACACGTCTTATTAGAACAAGGCAACCTGAATATAAGCTGTGTTTTGTCACAAATTAGCAGTTTCTATAAAACTAGAATGAAAGGCTGTCTCTTCTTTCTGTACCCTTTCAGCGGAGAGGGTCAAGCCATTTAAAGGATAAAAATGATAATTGCTTAATACTTTTTTTCCTGACCTTCTTCAAGGTGTTGCATTCCAGATGTACTGAGCTCCAATTTCTATCATTCCCCAGACAAGTCTCAGGAAGGGTCAAAAGAGTAGGATGGTGCCAGGTTGTAGACAGTCTGATACTAGAACTCCCTGGCACCTTGAAGATTCAGTATTCAACCATGCAGGGAACATCCTCTCAACTTTAGTAACTTTCCACAAACAAACTTTCTGGACTTTTAGTTTAGTGAGATGGCTTTGTCCCTGCTATTTCTATTTTTTCAAAGCATTTCATTGTTCACTTCTAACCTATTTCAATGCCAGTGCTTCATCCCAGCTAGGGTGTCATTCCTACCGGAGAGTGTTGATGCAAAGGTGACACTTAGACTGAACCAATGACCTTTTCTGTTCTTTTTTTTAAAAAAGCAAGTTTCGAATCTCTTTTTGGCTGAAAAGGGATAATCAGTCAGCCACCCCTGTTTTCCTTCTCTCCGCCTGTCTTTCATCCACTCGAAGTAATGGGAGGGAAAGAATATTCCTGCCTTTCTGTTTGGTCCACTTTCCAACAAGCATGATCAGAAGAACACGGAGTACAATCAATGCCTTCATGAACTGTGTTTCTGACGCTTCCAGAAGCGCTTGACGTCTGAGTGGCCGGCGGGAGTCACCACCATGAGACGCTTGATTGGGTTCTCAAAAACCAGGACCCCAAGTTCCTTGGCATGGTCACGGAGCAGCTCAAAGTCCACCTGAGATAAGAACTGGTTGTATAGGACACCTGTGGGAAAGAGTTGGAGAAACAGATGAACAGGAAGGCATGCAAGGAGAAGCTGATAGAAAGAGACAGGTGTGGAAAACAGGCGGGGGCAGCAATATATGGCAAAAGAGGAATAAGGGTGGAAGAAATGGGGCAAACAAGGACAGACAAAACCACAAATGAGAGCCTCTTTATATTCCCCCCTGCAGACATCAGGACCAACTCCTGCTTTTAAAATGATAATCGTGACAACCCCTGTAAGTGGCGTGACCCAGCCACAAAGAATATGGCTTCTTAGTTGTACACAAAGCCCTAGATGCGGTCCAGGAAGCAGGCACTCTGCTGGAGAAATTAAAATTCACATTTTAATTTCAATTTAATTTTTAACAAATCCATCATAGAACTAAGTAGGAATTTCCTGACAATGAGAACAATCAATCTGTGGAATGCCTTCAGAAGTTGTGAGTGCTCCATCACTGGAGGTTTTTAGGAAGAATAACAGAATAACAAGAGTTGGAAGGGATCTTGAATGACATCCAAACTCTGACCAGGAAGTCTATAGCTAAGGCAGAGATGCCAAACTCAAAGGTCTGGGGGCTAGATCCGGCCTGCAGGGTGCTTAGATCTGGCCCGTGAGGCTGCCCTGCAAACAGTGAAGGACTGGCGCACGGTGCCTCTGCCAGTTAAAATGGAACTTGGGAGGGCCACGTTTTTTTTTTGCTGGCAGAGGGTTACAAGAGGCTGTCACAGCCGAAAATGGAGCTCAGAAGCCTGTTTTCGCTGGCAGAGCGCTCAGGCTACTACAGGCGCCCCCAACACAAGTGACATCAAGCTGGCCACACCCACTCCAGTCCCCCCAAGGTCAACACAACCCTGATGAGGCCCTCAATGAAATCGAATTTGACACCATTGAGCATTATATTTGGACCATGCAACTTTAAGATGTATGGACTTCAACTCCCAGAATTCCAAGCCAGCAAGGCTGGCTGTGGAATTCTGGGAGTTGAAATCCACACGTCTTAAATGTATTAAGGCTGAGAAACACCCGTCTAATTAAAACTAAAGAAAGCAGAGATTAAAGTGAACAAGAACTGGAGTCAATAACCCAAACCTCTGATATATAGGTGGTCCTTGATTTATAACCATTTTTAGTGACCATTTGAAGTTACAGCAGCACTGAAAAAAGTGACTTAGGACTGGTCTGTACATTTATTGCTCTGATAGCATCCCCATGGTTACATTATCAAAATTCAGGCACCTGGCAACCAGCATTTATTTGTGACAATGCCACATTTTAGATTCATAGGATCTCCACTCGCAAGCTTCCCGCCTGCCTTCGGACAAGCAAAGTCAATGGGGGAAACTGGATTCACTGAATGACCATATGATTCGCTTTACAACTCCAGTGATTTGCTTTAAACAGCGGGGCTTTAAAAACAGGTCATAAAATTGGCTGCAACTCATTTAATCTTGTTTTAGCAATGGAAATTAGGGTCTCCATTGTGGTTGTAAGTTGAGGACTACATCTATATTGGACTAAAGATTAATGTCCGGACGGTCTGGCTAATGGCCACATTGGAGTTCAACACACCGGGAGAGGAGACCAGGTTGGGGAATCTGCCAAACTATAATGGACCTAGTTTGACATCCTATTAGATTCTTATCCTGGTTATCGCTTCCTCTCCTGACCACCTGTCCCATCTCTCGGAGATGCTCACCCTCAGAAAAGCGCAGTCTATCCCGTTCCAGTTCCCACAGCCGGATCTGATCTGTGATTGTGGGGGGCAGTACAGGGGTCTGTGGAGAGGAGAGTGGAAAAGTTAGAGATGGCAAAATATCTATTTGCTAAAGAGCAAAGAAAACAATCTCCCAATTGCATTGTCCTCTAGAATTGACCAATCCCTACTTTCCCTGAACCTGTGGTGGTGGCCTGCCAGCGGAGTTAGCAGCAGATTCGGACAGTAAGGAGGTTGGGAAGGAACATGGGTCAGTCCTGGAGTCTGGGGAAGGCTCTGATGAGGGCTCTGTGTTGAAGAGCTGTATGCCAGTTATCAGCTGCCTTCAGAGTCAGACATCAGTGAGGCAGAAGAACAGCTGGAGCCTGTTCCCAGTGTGCACATGCACAG